TTTGGATGCTTTTTGAAGAGTTTTTGGATGCACTTATTGGAGAACCGACGTTAGGCTCTATATAGGGCTGAAATTGATCAGAAAATATCTCTTTTCGCACGCCTTCTTCGATCTCTCTCGCCAATTCGTCGCCCCAATGCCCCTTTTTGCACCTTTTCACGTTCCTCCTTGCCATTGCACACAATTAGTTAGTTATTTTCTATATAGTTTTGAGTTTGTATGGTAAGTTTAAGTGTGAATTATTCTCTAAGAAGTGTTAGAGAGGAAGAGAAGTGAGAGATTTCTTCTTCTTACATTTCCTAAAAGAGGCTACAAGGAATTTGCTTTGAGAAAGAGTTTTATTATTGCTGTATGAACTTCCTTTTATATAAGAAATTTGTGTTTTGTTGTATCTTTCTCATGAAGTCTGAGGGTCCGTTTGGGGCAGCTTATTTGGTGCGGTGGCGTTTTGAAAACGCACCTGACCTGTTTGGGTAAACTGTGTTTTGGCATCTTATGTGTTTTCAAAACGCCGAAAACAACGTTTCCACACCGCACCTGTCTAGGTGCGGTGACAACTTTTTGGTAACGGTTTGGCTTTTCTAAAAAAATAAAAATTTATAATAGCCACCGTACCTAGCTTATCAGCAGATTATTTTTAATCAGCTTATCAGCAGATTATTCAATAAAGCTGCAGCTGCCCCAAACAGATCCTGAGTAGTTCCCTTTATCTTTCTCTCTACTATGAGATATGGTGAAATGAAGAGATAATTTGGATGCGCCAACGTTAAAATATAAAATAAATTATGATGATTTTTTCAACTCTGCTCTTCATCTACTTTTCGATCTGACCAATTGAATTATTAAAATATGTTATGAAACATATGATCCGGGAAATAGAGTATGAGTTCTACAACAAAGTGAGAATCACATTTAAGTCCATGAAGAAGTATTTCATTCATGGAATTAAGTGCAAATAAATAAGAAAATAAACATTGTTGGGTATAGAATTATTTTGTGTAGAATTGGGGATTTCTAGGGTGACAGACTAAAAATCCCCAATTCGATCTTAGTATTTAAAAACAAAAACGAGCGTTAGCCTTCAGGGGAAGGAAAGTGGGAGCTCTGGAGTGGGAGTCAGTATCCTTCTAGCCTAGCCATAGATTTAGAGACTAAACTTAAAATTAGCCAATGATATTCTATAACACTAAATCAGGATAGAGAATTAAAATTGCTCTTATTTGACACAATACAAATTTATACTATTTATCTCATCTCATTTCACCAAAAACTCATTATAGTGGGAAATATGTTTTTTCATATTAGAAAACTTCATCATATAAACATAGTTTAGTAGTTACTATTTTAAACTTGCATTTAAATTCTGTTAGTAGTTAATAATTTAGCTTTGATAGAATCTTAAACATTCAAAATTAGTGACTTTAATTTCGTTTTTCTTCTGTGAATTTCCTAGTTAATTTATCATTTCAAATTTAAACATTCCTCGTGGGATCGATATTCAAGACTAAAATAGAAAATATTATATTACTTGATAACAATACATATACTTGCGTATAATCCAAACATTAAGTGCTTAACGTTATTATTCATAAAATACCACATCAAGTTTTTGACACCGTTATAAAGCGGAGTCAACTTTATAAATTTTACACAACTATATTTCCGGGATCAGACGACTAAGATGACTTTCTTTAATCTTGTCTGTCATTGGACTCACACCAATCCTTTCATGGGTATATTCGTTTCACACTTTGTTTTTAAGTGTAAAGGCACCCATCCACCAAAGAAATCTATCTTAATAACACTTAGTTTAATGCTTCTCTTTTATAGGCAAATATGTTGCACCACAAAGCATTGCAGATCTCACCATCATATTGTAAAACTTTCCTTTAAGTCTAAGCAGTATTTTTTTTATCACACAATTAGGCCCAGTGCATTCCTCCACGTCAACCATCCAACTTGGATTCTAGTAATAACATCCCCATCTCTAGCACCATCACTTTGAACAATATACTAAAATGTTCACTCATTTTAATGACTAGATCACCCATTATTACAACTGCGCCACTAGAGCTAATACTATTAAAATTACATTCAATGTATTCAATTTTAGATTCACTCGAACAAAAGTTTTAGACTCTAAAGTTGATCTCCATAATTCAAGTTTTTTCTAAAATTTCTCAACCATATCCACCAGAAGGATATCATCAGCAAAAAAAATATACACTAGGGTACATTTTCCTATAAATGACGAGTAAGAACATCTATAACTAAAATAAAAAAAAAATATGAGCTTAAAGCCAATCTCTGATATAATCCAATTGAAATAGGAAAAGGACTCGGTCAATCATCCTTCTGTCTGAACACAACAACTCTTATATACATATATTTAATGACTTGAATATCAAAGCTTCTTTTCTAGAAATCCCCAAAATATTTCTTTTTGTACCTTGTTATATGCTTTTTCTTTATAAAAAAATCATATATAAATTCTCATGTTCTTTTTACTTCTCCATCAAATCTCTCAATAAATATATAACTTCCATAGTAGACTTACCCAACATAAATTCAAACTAACTTTTGAGAAATCTGTCTTGTGTCTTAACCTATGTTCAATTATTCTTTCTCATAATTTTAATGCACTGCACATTAACTTAATTCCTCTATAATTTACATTCTTATGCATCCCCTTTATATGATTTAATTATAAAGATAAGATTAGTTATTTTGAAAGGATAAATTTATAAAAGAAGAATCTCATGATCATATATTTAAAATCATTTAATTACTTTAAGAAGCTTTCCTGCTTAAACTTATGACTCGCTTAAGCTCAAATTTAGATATGTCAGAATTTAAAATTTTTATTTTAAATACCGGCAAAATAAGCTTTTGATTAGGATTAAGGGTCTGTTTCGGGTAGCTGCAGCTTATCCAACTTATGTTGATAAGCAGCTTATCCAACTTATGAACTTATGTTGATAAGCAGCTTATTTATCCAACTTATGTTGATAAGCAGCTTATCTTGATAATTTGCTGATGAATAGCTGATCCGGATAAGCTGACCGACTGTTTGGTTTGTGCATTTGGAAAGCAGCTGATTCTGGATGAATGACCAATCTGCCCGTGATATGGATAAGATGTTTAGATATTTTGTTTGTGCGTTTTGTAAACAACTGATTTAATATGAAGATTGAAGAACATGAAAATACAAAATATTCTTAAAATTAAAGTTCAATTGTTAAGACATGAAAATATAAAATATTTATATCACTTAAATATTTATGATCACATCACAGAAGCACAGTCACATAAACAAAAGTGAAATACACCTTAACACACTAACATGTACTATAATAAGACCCAAGAAAGAAGAAAAAATAACATATTAAAATTACAAGAAAAAAAAAATTATAATGTTGACTTTAAAATGTAGCAGCATATCACGACTTATGCTGCCCGACTCGACACTCCGGAACCCTGAGCGAACCTGTCCGACTGTGATATCGTAGAAATGAAAGAAATCGAATCAGAAGCTGCATTCTTAAATTTTGATGCCGACGAACTCTGAGCAGTGGTCTCAAGTTGAGATAATATAGAAACAGACGTACTGTCGGCCCACCTGAAGAAAGTGCAGTCCTCATGTCCTTGTGCCTACCGTGGGCACCTATAAAATTGCCTCCCGTAGCTATTTGGTTGGCGTGACGTGAGTAGCAAGGTCGGTAGCCCGCACCGGCACATCACATGCCCAGACTTTCCTGAATATCTGGAACACATTGTCCTGCAGTTATGAAAAGAACAACATATCAGTAAAAAAATTGAGGAAATATAAAAAAATATATGTACCGAAATATGGAGGTAACGGTTGTCGAAAAAAAATTTGTGTGGCCATCGAAACTGCTCCACAATAATTTCGATAAAATCAGAACAATTTAACAGTAAAAAACATTTTTTATAGTAGATAGAGCCATATAGTAGCATTTGCTCTATAAATTCAAATGTGAAAGCATGTCCAAAAATAGGATGTTTCAGTCAAATGAAAAAGATTTTCACTTGGAATAGAATATAAGAATTATAAACCAGAAAAGATGTGTACAAAAAAATTTCCTGTGTAATGCCACCAGGAAAACACGGGATAACCGAACCACTGAAACCATAGGTTACTTTGTAATGCCAACAGACGTAACGCCAATAAGATCCCAGTGGTAATGGCTGCACTGGTTACCTAGCAATAACTAGGCCATCCAAAGATGCTGCATCATTACCGTTGGGATTTATTTACATACATCCCAATTTCTATGTAATGCCAACAGAGCAACTGAAACCATATGATACTTTCTGAAAAAGCTAACTTCATAAATCCAAATATTCAAATGAATCAGTAGGTAAGTCGAAGGGAAAAAGAGCATGTCTCAATTTCCAGGTATAAAACAGTAAGCACCCAACATATTGCTATTGCCACTTGCTTAAGCAAGAAAAAAAATTCAGGTTTGGATCATATGCTCACTGGTCAGAACAATTGAAATGTCAAAGTGCAGCAGCAGGTACTTCCTATTTCATCTAAAAACTTTATTTTTACAATCCCACATGTTAACATAAGACCCATAGCAGCCATATATAACATCTTGCACTATAATGAGACCCAACAGACTACATCCCAGATTTATCAACAAATTGTGAAGCACAATTCTTATGTAAACACATGATAACCGAATCAACAACAGGAGAACACAGGATAACCGAACCAACAACAGACAGTTGCAAATTCATAGCATTCATTCATACAACCTCCAGCTCATAATGAGATATTATGAGCTACAAATTCATACATGCAGTTGCTGAAGAAAGAAAAGGTTTAAGCTTTGATTACATGGCCACTGTTGAGAACAATTAAACTTTCTGCATTCACAGCAAATGTCTATCACTTTAACAGATAATAAGATAGATTTCTTAATAAAACAACCGCAAATGCTACACATGCAAATTCTACACATAAATGGTGACAACATTCATTCATATACCTGCAGCTTTCCTTTAAAATTCTCAGCAAATGACAACATTCATTCATATGCCTACAGCTTTCCCCAATAGCTGTAATAACATTCATTCATATACCTAATAACATTCATTCATAATGAGAAACCTGCAGCTCATGAAATGAAATGAGAACCCTGCAGTGCAGCCAAAACATTCATAAAGACAGGAAATATAACCCATATAGGTACCAATCCATTTAAATGATGTATGCAACCTAAAGAGCTTCAGGTTGCTGAAGAAAGGATTAAACCATTTAAATGCTTACTTCCAACAATATGTTTCAGATAAGCATAAAATTTTTTTTCAGAAAGGCTAAGTGCACGACTAGCAGGTAATCCAATTCGAAAAGGAATAAATTATTAATGCCCAGAACAAAATTTGTGATCTAAGCAATTCTCCCTATGGAACCTCTCACAAATGTGGCTCCAACTTTCTTCTTTTCCGCTCTAAGACGCTTTGTCCCACCGGTTGATTGAACATCTGTATGCAGTTGGCTGGGACCTTCTCCAGACTCACCTATGTGCTCGGTTTCCATGTTATGTGTTAAACCGGTAAAGCTCTGGTCAGTTGGGGTGAAAACATGAGTTCCGGTAGCGACAACACCTATGCACATGTCATCCAACTTTTCCTCTAATATTCGATCAATGCCGCTAAGTTTGAATTTTTTGGCTGCCGGCACTACCTGTAATAGAAAAGATAAATTATTAGTAAAAATCTTTAGAAAGATGCAATCAATGCAAAAAACAAATATAGGTATGTATTTACTCCTAACTTCTGAACCCACCATTCATCTTGTGCATCTATTGTCTGTTTAAGTGGATCTCAATCCAATCTTGTTGATCCTCTTTTGAGTTCTTTCCAAATTTTCAAGTTTTTTTTTAATTGACCGCATTTGTTTTTAGTTTCATTCGATCGTAATCCCTTCCGGTCAGTTCCTTGAATTTAAGGGTTAGATTATGCCAACCTTCTTTATTGAAATAGGTGGTCGGCCTATCACCCAACTCGACTTCCCTCACACAGAGATCACAAAATGTCAGGGTGGTCTTTTTATCTCACATGACCGATGATCCAGATTTTTTAGGTTTACTTATTTTGACTGTGAGATAAACAAGCTAACATGAAATTAATGATGTTCAAGAGAAAAACCGTATACACAATGACATTTTTGTGGAAGAGAAAACATAATAATTTTTGTGAAATGAGTCATTTGAACACATATTACACAATAACATAAATGTAATAGTGATCCATGTCGTTATCTAATTTTTGTGGAAATGAAGAAATGCAAGGAAAATTGATAATCACTCCTGTATTATCTCTACATTTCTTTCAAATATTAAAATTGCAATTCATACTTCTAACTGGAAAAGAGAACAATATTGGGAACATATATTATTGGGAACATATATTCATATTGGGAACATATATTCAAGGCAAACTTCTAACCGAGCAAATAGATCTTACATAATTAAAGACTGCAGATAGGGTTGATAAAAACTGCATAAAGATCTTGCACATAATTCTCTAAACTGAGCAAATGATAAAGACTGCATATAGATCTTGCCATATGAGACTGCATATAGATCGACATAAAATTGCATATAGTTCTTGCCATATCAGATATGGATGATGTTTCAAATTTTTAACAACCACAACAAGAAAATGAAATCCCCCACCGAACAACAATAATAAGTCAAAATCAGAGATCAAGCATATGAAACACAATCTTACTGTAGCGTGAAGAGATCAGCGTTGGATCTATATTCCAGAAATATAACAGAGGGAGAAAAAGAGCGAGAACCATTACAAACAATGAAATCACAATCTCGATTCTTCATATGTTTCAGAAAAAAAGTGGATTTAGATTTTCACTATAAATACTCATCTCCCAACAACTGGATCTAGGCTTTTAGCCACTAAAAATATATGAAGAATCAAGATTGTGACACCAAAATTTTCGACAGATGGATCGTCCAGAGCTTTCTCATCGAGTGGGGGAGAGGAGGGAGGAAAAGAGCTCCTTACCTGCCGAACGAATTCGTGTAAGGATGCAGGAGATACGCCTTCGAACGAAAGAGGAAAGTAGGGATGCAGAATGATTCACGAGGGAAACACAGTAAAAGCTTGGAGGCCGAACGCGGATCGCGGGGATAGACCCGCGATCCGCGTGTAATGTAAAATAACAAACGGGGTTTCCATTAACGCGTTTCTAACGTGCAAAACAAACGGTGAGGCTGTGTTTTCAAAACGCTGCCGCACCGATAAACTGCCCCAAATGGGCCCTAAGCTCCAAAAATGTAATTTACATACATACCACCTTACCACTTTATAAGATGGTGGTATTTTTAAATGTAATGAAACATTCATATGGTATAAATTTAAAAAATAAAGTTTCGGTCCTACATATGCACATGTATAAATTTTATACTGAGAAGATGTAACTGATCTAATCTCAACAGTTGCAGAGAAAAAAAAAAGGTGGATGAAACTGGTGAAAAGCAATGGCCCGCATACATTGTCATCAAGTAGGATCCTAAGCAGAAATTGCAATCTCTCTCAGTAATATTTATATAATTATATCCATTAGGGTCAAGAGAAGCGCATTAATTTAATGTACAAAATTAAAGGAATTCTAAAGAAGGCTTGATAATTAAACCATCTTGAAAAAGAATAGATCATTGATATTGTTCAGAATTCAATGATTGCTTCACATGGACTTACTACGAAATGCCAGGATTTTTTAGACAAATCAAAATTCTAAGAAGATTATGTTACTCTCTGAAAAGTAGCACCAACCTGCATGTGAAGCCACTCTGCTGCAGAACCTTGCTCGTGCTCATATTCTCTTGTTGGCTGAGAAGAAAATTCCAATTTTCTGGGAGTCTGATAAGTCTGAGCTCCAAACTGAAAGCAATAAAAGTTTACATTTTTATTACTCTTCAGTTTTAAAGAACGAGTTATTACAATGGCTGAATATAGTTTTCAACCCTGGATTATACAAACATTTTTGAATTCGACCAGTGACCTTCAATCTAACTGTTATAGTCCATGAAAAAGGAACAAAGCATATATTATATTTTATCTATATCTGAATCATATTTTGTTAAGTCAGGATGCATCTCCTAAAGTTAACAAGCTTCGTCACATGATGAGTTATGTAAAGCTGTTTGATTATTTTCTGAAAGAATTAAGCTTTCCATAATTCAATGTAGCATTCAAAAATTATCACATGGTGTAAAATGCAGTCTAACAATATGAGAAGTCATAAATTCATAAAATATGGCTGCTAATCTTTTTGAAAATCACGGCGAAAATATTTGTTCGGTTTTTTGTTAAAAATATGCTTGTCCAATCCTAATAGATTTTTGTTGTGAGATATGTACTTCCTGACATAGAAATGAGACGAAAAAGAACACAAGCAAATAGAGATCGTTTACGTGGTTCGATCCAACTGGATCTACGTCCACGGGAGGGAATCAATCAAATATTTCACTAAGGCAAAAGAAATGAAGAATACATAGCTTATACATAGAGATGAGCCCTCATCTTCCTTCTATGGCCTCCCTCTCAAGCGACACCTTGATACAAGGCTTCAAGATGCTCTCCTCCTCTCTAGCTCTCTAGCTATTCTCTCCTCTTTTGTGGTGGCTTAAGATCTCTTCCCTTTCCTCTCCTAAGCCTCACACCCTTAAGATTTCTTCCCTTGCTCTCCTAAGCCTCATACCCTCTCTATTTATAGAAGCAAGAGAGTGGTAGATGGGAGGTAGGTGAGCGGTAGGTGAGCGGTAGGTGAACGGTTGGTGAGATGTGGTAGGTGAGCGGTACCACATTACAAAAGTGCCCTTTTACCTTAGTTCATTAATTGAGGGTCAAAAATAACAATTCTCCACCTTGACCCTCAATTGAGAAGCTTTGAAGTAAAGATTCCCTCCACCTGGCCCCTGAGAGGCCCTCAGCCCTTGTTTGAGTTTGCTAGGTCCAAACAGTACGTGGACTTAGCAACCACGGTTCTTCCGATAAGAGAGTACAACCCCTTTTTCCTGACTCCTTGTATGACGACACGAGGGCCTTTGGTTACTCTGATGCAGCCATTCTCTGCCTTGAATGAGCATCCTCTTGACTCCAGCGTACCTAAAGAAATCAGATTTCTTTTTAGCACTGGTAAGTACCTGACATTTTTCAGTACTCGTTCAACTCCATCAAACATCCTTATCCTGATTGATCCACTTCCAACAACCCT